TAATCACCATTGGGTATCCGAAAAAATAATTAAAATGATGTCTCGATAGTTTCCCTATACGACTATTAAACCATTTCTGAGTTTGACCTTAATCATGACCTAAGGTCAAAATTTAATAACGGCCAGAATGACTTTGAATGTCATGGTCAAGGTCAAATCTAAGGTCACCATTGCATAGGATGGGGGGGGGTCAACTGCGATCAATCGTGATTAAGTTTTTTCTAAAGGGCAAACTTTTAAATATATCTAACATAATTTCTAATTCAATTATTTCAGATATTTTGGGAGTTCCAAGTTGACTCATAAAAAATCTTATGAAATATGCTTTGTTTTTGTCCCCAATAAGTAGCGTACAAATATATATATATACAGGGTGACTTTGAAGTTGAGTCATTAATTTTCAGATAATGATTGTAGAAGGAAGATAAACCAAAATATGTGTGTAAAAATAAAAAAAAAATTAAAAAAAAAATGTTACTTTGTTTTATAAAGTATCCTCCCGACAAGTATTTCAGTGCGGACCTGTATTTGATCGTGCGGTCTTGGAGCATCGGCATGCCCTCCCCTGTGAGGTCTTAAGTCACCTGATTCACGAGCCCTTTGTACTACATTAACAAAGGCACGAGGGGTTGGTTGCACTCGATTGGGAAACCGATCCGCATAAATCCGTGAGGCCGCGTAAATAAGAATCATGTCCACAAGTTCAGCATTTTCGTAAACATGTGCCATTTTTGATTTCGTTTGAGCCACGCAACAGGCACCACTATTCACTCACGCGTTACCGACTGACACTGACTGTATACAACTGAATAAAATAATTGTAAAAACATCGTTCCAAATTCTTTCGCTTTTTTGTTTCCGATGCGATGAACCGATAAGGCGAATTATATCCGTTGTCGCCAAACACGAGCACATAATATTATTATTGAGACAGGGCGGTACTCAAACTTCCAAAGGGCTATAACTTTGTTACTTTAATTTTACCAGGAACATGGTAAAGGAAAAAACATTTCTTTTGATCAGATCTACTCACTGTTAAAATAAATGACTCAACTTCGAAGTCACCCTGTATGTATATATACATATATATATATATATATATAAAGGAAAAAAACATTTCTTTTGATCAGATCTACTCACTGTTAAAATAAATGACTCAACTTCAAAGTCACCCTGTATTCGAAGTCACCCTGTATGTATATACAGGGTGACTTTGAAGTTGAGTCATTAATTTTCAGATAATGATTGTAGAAGGAAGATAAACCAAAATATGTGTGTGAAACTAAAAAAAAAATTAAAAAAAATTTTTTACCTTGTTTTATAAAGTATCCTCCCGACAAGTATTTCAGTGCGGACCTATATTTGATCGTGAGGTCCCCTGTGAGGTCTTAAGTCACCTGATTCACGAGCCCGTTGTACTACATTAACAAAGACACGAGGGGTTGGTTGCACTCGATTGGGAAACCGATCCGCATAAGCATGTGCCATTTTTTATTTCGTTTGAGCCACGCAACATACACCACTATTCACTGACACTGACTGTATACAAATGAATAAAATAATTGTAAAAACATCGTTCCAAATTCTTTCGCTTTTTTGTTTCCGATGCGATGAACCGATACGGCGGATTATATCCGTTGTCGCCAAACACGAGCACATAATATTATTATTGAGACAGGGCGGTACTCAAACTTCCAAAGGGCTATAGCTTTGTTGCTTTAATTTTACCAGAAAAATGGTAAAGGAAAAAAACATTTCTTTTGATCAGATCTACTCACTGTTAAAATAAATGACTCAACTTCGAAGTATATATACAATACAATTAAAGTAACAAAGTTATAGCCCTTTGGAAGTTTGAGTACCGCCCTGTCTCAATAATAATATTATGTGCTCGTGTTTGGCGACAACGGATATAATTCGCCTTATCAGTTCATCGCATCGGAAACAAAAAAGCGAAAGAATTTGGAACGATGTTTTTACAATTATTTCATCCAGTTGTATACAGTCAGTGTCAGTCGGTAGTGGATAGTGGTGTCTGTTGCGTGGCTCAAACGAAATAAAAAATGGCACATGCTTATGCGGATCGGTTTCCCAATCGAGTGCAACCAACCCCTCGTGCCTTTGTTAATGTAGTACAACGGGTTCGTGAATCATTTGACTTAAGACCTCACATATGGACGGCATGCCGGTGCTCCAAGACCTCACGATCAAATACAGGTCCGCACTGAAATACTTGTCGGGAGGATACTTTATAAAACAAGGTAAAATTTTTTTTTTAATTTAATTTTATTTTTACACACATATTTTGGTTTATCTTCCTTCTACAATAATTATCTCAAAATTCATGACTCAACTTCGAAGTCACCCTATATATATACAGGGTGACTTCGAAGTTGAGTCATTTATTTTAACAGTGAGTAGATCTGATCAAGAAAAATGTTTTTTTCCTTTAACATTTTTCTGGTAAAATTAAAGTAACAAAGTTATAGCCCTTTAGAAGTTTGAGTACCGCCCTGTCTCAATAATAATATTATGTGCTCGTGTTTGGCAACAACGGATATATCGGTTCATCGCATCAGAAGCAAAAGAGCGAAAGAATTTGAAACGTTTATCACGATGTTTTTCGTCATTCGGTAACGCGTGAGTGAATAGTGGTATTTGTTGCGTGGCTCAAACGAAATAAAAAATGGCACATGTTTACGAAAATGCTCAACTTGTGGACATGATTCTTGTTTACGGGGGGGAGTCTTTACAAAATGCTGCCGCGGCATCACGGATTTGTGCGAATCGGTTTCTCAATCGAGTGCAACGAACCCCTCGTGCCTTTGTTAATGTAGTACAAAGGGCTCGTGAATCAGGTGACTCCAAGACCGCACGATCAAATACAGGTGGTTGATCTTCCTTCTACAATCATTATCTGAAAATTAATGACTCAACTTCAAAGTCACCCTGTATATATAGGTGTATATATATTTATACAGTGCTTTTCTTTAATGTCCACCTCCCCTTTGATTTTTTGAAAAATTAATACTTGAGTTAATAGAATTGATGCGTGGATACCATATTTTAGAGTAAAATTGACAGTTGAAAATGTCAAGATGACCGCTGGGTGCCATCTTGGAAAAAAGTTATATGAGAACATCATTTTGAAGCTCCTGACGAGTACTTTATAACCCTAGAATATACCTTTACCTAATACAAAATGGTGGTACATTTAATAATGACCTACATACATTGACATTTAACTTGATAATTCCAATAAATACGTTGAGTTCAGTTTAGAAGATGCTGGAAATGGCTGCCTTGAACTTCTTGACACAATAACAGCCGGTCCGTAATTTCGCGTCTAACATTTTCGAACATAGTAACATCGATATTTCTACAAATATTTGTTATTCTCAGCCGTATATCCAATATTGAAGCAGGTTCAGTTTCGTACGCCTTTTGCTTCAACTAGCCCCATAAAAAAGTCTTGGTGTCAAATCTGGTGAGCGAGCAGACCATTCCACAGGATCTCGACGGCCAATCCAACGACCGGAGAAATTGTTATCTAAATAAATCCTAACTTGTCTGCAGTAGTGTGGTGGAGCACAATCTTGCTGGAATACCATATCAGCATTAAATTCATTAGGATTCGCTTCGACGATTTCGGTGATTAGTGGGTCAATAGTATTTTCCAGCATATCCAAATACAGTTCCCCGGTTAAAGTTTGTTCGATGAATAGAGGCCCCACAATATGATTTCCCAATATTCCAGCTCAAACGCATATTTTTTGTGGATATTGAGTATGAGTTTCCCGGAAGACGTGAGGATTAGTGTCACTCCAATAACGACAATTTTGTCTGTGTACATTGCCGTTGAGAAAAAATGTACATTCATCACTAAAACAATTTAGATATAGGTAGCATGCCGTGCAATGGTTTCCGTCATAGTCTCGCAGAATTCTGTTCTTCGATCAGGGCCATCTTCAGTTAGCTGATGTACCATTTGAACTTTGTATGGGTGATACTTATTCTTCTTCGAAAGCCTCCATGCAGTAGAAGGACAAACATCACATTCATTCGCGACGGAGGAAGTAGACTGTTGGGGATTTACTATGATCTCACCAACTGTTTGAACTTGCTTGTCTTCCAGGATGCTTGGATGACCTGAGGGCATTTGGTTGTTTACACTACCAGTAGCTGTAAATTTAGATACAAGTTCCTTTAAATATTTTCTACAGATAGGACGATTCGGGAAAGATCTCGTCGCACCATAAATATTTTTTCTTCCAATGGACGAGAACTGACCATTTTAAAAATAGTTCAATCAGTATCTAACACTAAAACCGAAAACTAAATAAGAATATTTTAACTGTACAATGATGTTTGTTTTCATACTGATATTCTTGTCACTGTCAACAAAAAGTAACAAAACAAGTTTTTATCGCTATTGCTGAGGATACGGCATGAAATTACAATCATTTGTAGAGATATGCATGTTAGTGGGTTTGTATTCAAGTAATTATTAAATGTACCACCATTTTGAGGTAGGTAAAGGTAAAGTACTCGTTAGTAGCTCAAAAATGATGTGCCACAAGACCCCCGTTTTCATATAATTTTTTTTCCAAGATGGCGCCCAGCGGCCATCTTGACAGTTTTTTGTCTGTTAATTTGACTCTGAGATATGGTATCCACACATCAATTTCATTACCCCAAGTTTTAATTTCTCAAAAAATCAAAGGGGAGGGAGACATTAAAGCATAGCACTATTTATGTATATATATATATAGTGCTTTTCTTAATTGTACCCTCCCCTTTAATTTTCTGAATTGATCCGCTCAAAAAATCAAAGGCGAGGGGGACATTAAAGAAAAGCACTATATATATATATATATATATATAGTACCTTGTAACTCTCTAATGAAGGTATCTTTGGAGGAATATCAATGGAAACTTTTTCGTGTTATTTTTCGTGGCGCTTTCTGCAGCACCCTGTACATGTAATCGTATATTTTCAGTGACCATGAATACGAGCCCGTTTGCCCACCGCCAGACCGTGCGTCTTCGCCTGCAGACCACCGTCAAAATTTGCAACACTTTCCACAGACCCTATCCAACCCGTCCGTGTACGTGGTCGATACGGACATCATTGACCCCAGTATCCTGCCCCTAGGAGAAGTGCCCTTGGATAACCATGCCACCGTTACCAAGGAGCCTCATAGGGGTCAGTCTGCCAGCCCGGACAGACAGCCCACTTTCGTCAAGTTCGCGCCAACTGAAGAGGTGGTTGCTTATCATGACGAACCACCACCGCAACCTGCACCTGGAAGGTTTGTTCTACCATCTTTAATAAAAATTAGTATTTATTATAATTATTAACACTACAACAGTAGGCGGAAAAGTCCGATGACATCGTTGTTTAGTGTTTTTTTATGTTGTATAATGCACGAAATGTCCTACTTTGCCTTCTAGTTCCTTTTAAAATAAATTAAATTAATTAAATTTCCCCTGTTTTTCCAATTTTTTGGTAATCCCTCGGAGATGAAGATTCTGACACATTTTGCGATTCCATCATCGTTTGCAGTAGCTGAGCTGAGATGGACAAACGAAAATTTCATTTTTGTATCGTCTACATACAAATAACGGAAACATTCATTTAAAGCTTTAGTTATATTAGAATAATATATTTGGAAAAGTATAAGGCCCAAAACTGAACCTTGTGGTACAAGACAACCAACCTTACGTACACAAGATGTACCTTTAGATGAAATCCGGAACATCTGATGAAATATAATACAGAAAATAAAAGTTGATGTATCAGAGTATCCAATCCTTCTATAGTCTGGAACTAGAAGAACTAGACGTGTAGATTTTTCATGATCTAAGTCCGATAGGATTTCATCTGTTACACATTACTAGTGGTACAACTGAAATCTTCCTGGAATCATCGTGTTGCGGGAGTACATTGAATATTTTTGAATGCGGGTTTAGCTGAAACTTTTTTTTTTCTAGCACCTTTGATAATATCGGTAAAATTGAAATAGGTCCAAGATCAGCCATATTGGCCTTCTTATTAATTGGAATCACTTTTGATGTTTTCTACAGATTCCAACAAGCCTTCCGCGAGAAAACCGAAAACTTCAAGAACAAACTGCACAACATAAAGCGACCACACATCAAAAAGCCGAACATTCACCTGCCCGATAGACCGAAATTCAATAAGCCCAACTTGCAACGCTTCAAAATCGACAAATCCAAGTTCCACATGCCGAAAATTCCAGACACCACCAAAATCAACCTACCATCGTTCAACTTACCTCGTAGACAGTCTACAAAGTCACAGGCTACCACACCTCAACCTTTGAAAGAAAGAAACTTGTCGACAGAAGCACATGATGGAGACGCCAAGGCTGAGAAAACTGGCGGGTTCGACTTTGGAACTTTTCCGAAGATGTTGAAGAGGATTGGGAGGAGGAGAAGTCGAGACCAGTCTGATTTTGGAACTGCTCCTAGGTCCAAGAAGTCGGAGACATCCACGCAGGAGAGTAGCAGATGGAGTGGCAGTGAATCCGTAAGAAAAATTATATTTTAGTTACAAAAGAATGATACCCAGATAGCACAAGTACGTGAAAATGACATTACCGTCTGGTCATAAAATAACGAAAGATCACGAGTTGAATGACGTGAAAGTAACGTGAAAATGACCTCCTAATGCCACATACCGATGACGTCATATGGCACACGACACTAATACGTCACTTGCTGGAAGCTAAGGTGCCGTCTATTATTTATAATAAAGCTTCTTCAAAAAATCGTATACCGTGTGTGTTACCAGTATCTACTACTATTCAGACGGAGCATCATAAATTCGAGCACCAAATTGTACTACTGGCTCGGCGCTACTCGCCTAGCGTTGAAAGGCTACCCATTACTTGGCCCCCCCACCCTCACTTTACCAGCGTACACGACTTTGAGGTGAAAACACTATGCTAACATTGCCATTTTTGTACCCTATGAGCTGTGTAATATTACTATACACATCATGATAGAGAATTGAAGTCACGTTAGCACGACATCACTTTAAACAAACTAAGATACCTTCAGATACTATAAAGTTTACGCGAACAGGAGGCTTCACTTCCTATATATACATTATCTAATATACACACTGACGCAACACATGATCAAAATACTGTGAAAATGGAGCTACACCACTGACGCAACACTCTTTTATCGTTGAACTATAAGAACAGCAAATGTATCGATTTCCAGTTTAAAAAAGTAATACCTTGAATTATTTCGGAAAGAATAGCAGGTTAAGCACATGTTTGGTAAAAATGTCCTGCACTGACCTGCTGGCTGCTAAAATAGATATTCAAAGTCAGCAGTGATTCCCCTATATAGAGTGTTTCAGTGGCAGTGAAAAATATTGTAACCATACTTATGAGTCACTAAGCACCTTATCCTCGAATATTCAATTTGGTCACCATAATTGACCTACCAACATTTTAATATAACTTCCTTGCGGAAATAATAAATGAAGCTAAGTTCGAAGCGCGTCACCGGTACTGCGTCTGTCGCATACTCCCGATCACTCACGAATGAAGGGACGAGTCCTGCCGAATCCGCGATTTGAATGAACAGTTTAACTGTTTTTAATAAAATGTTTAATTGTATTAAATGTACCTTTCCTACATAAAATAAATCATCTAAACTAACTAAACAGTTCAATAAAATATATATGTGTGTACATAGTTTGATGTTTTTAAGCAAATTAGTTTAATAGTACATATATGTTATTACTGTCAATTTAACTGATTTCAGAAAGTCCAGTTTGATTAAACCGAATAATTGAGTTACTTGGAATTCAATACAAATAACGAAAATTTTCCAAAAAAAACTGTTCAATTTACCACGTTTGTTCACCGAACAAATTTAAATTATGTTCCTCGAATTGAATCTTTTAGATGCGTATCCCTCTTCACTCCGAAGACTCGATGGACGCTGTGGATAGAGATGGAGGTCCCTTAGAGGTCGGCGGCATGACCCCAGGCGGACCTCTCGAATCATCTCATGCCAGATACGAGCACGATATCGGCAATGAGGATGAAGAAGAAGAGTTTGAAAATAGCGGAGGAGAGTTTAACGGACGAGTAGAGAGGGATTTTCATGATCGGTGGCAGCATGGGAGGTTCAATGAAGAGGAGGAAGATAGGGAGTTTGAAGGGAGGTACGGGAGGTCGCAAAAGGTCACTGACCTCGATTCGCCTGAAGACGCGCCGAGGTATGACTTCAATGCCAACAACAGGGACAACTATTCCTCAGGTATGGATTACATTAGCACTAAAAGCGATTTTTTTACTTCCTACATGTATGTCACTCATTTTCATCGATCTGACCTTCTGTCGGTTTGTCGGCTAATATTGTAACCGCCAATAACTTGCTAAGGACAAAAACGAAAAAATAAAATTGCACAAACTTCGTTTTTGGACGTTTTAGAGGGTCATGATGGCTTTCAGATAAATGTTTATAAGTGTTGAAATTTGGGGGTTGGTTGTTGTAGTGGGAAGATTATATGAAATTCTTTTGATTTTAGTATATGTATACGCTGCCAACCCCGGTAATTCTCTGTACCTATTAGGCACATTTCGAACATCATAGATTACCCGTTTGCTTTAAAACTTAGATTCGTAGAGACATGTTTTCGATGCTCGTACTCCTGCCTATCTAAGCGCACCGCCTTGCAAACCAGTCGGGCTTCTATATCTATCCGTACTACACCGCAATAACATACGGATCTTGCGCGAAACGAAGGATAACTCGCTGCATCGATACCGCGCAGATTTGGAAAAGGACAACCTTGCCACATGGTCGGTAACTACCAGTAGAGCAGAGAATGAATGTCTATGGACTAATTGTATGGGCCTATTTGACCTAATAGGCTTAATTTCTCTGTTGTAAATGTCCGTAACTCATTATTTTCTCAGAGGATTTAAATTGCAGTGAACTTAACCCGGCGTTGGTACGGTGGGGTATAATATACCCCAACGCACTTTACCTCGTCATAACAGATCATAAATGGCCAGCAGCTTCGCGAGATTTCGTGTATCTTCGGATAAGACCTTAATAATCACGGAAACATGAAGCGCTCAGTGGATGACTGACCGTCGCCCGTGCTATGTGCTTCACTTTGCGATTGTGCATGTGATACCCCACCGTACCGATACCGCTACATAAGAATTTTCAATCATACCCCACCGTACACTTTTATTTTTAGTGGCTCCATTCATTTTCCAAGGTGAGTTTTTTTGTAATTTTATTTAATTTGAATTACCTCAGGTATATTTTTAGTATGTCGCACTGGGAAAAAGAGCAAGAGAGGTTATTGAAGCTATGGGAAGAAGTAGGAGCAGAAGACTCTGAAAATGAGCAGCTAGAACAAGAAGCAGCATCTGGATCGGAAGCAGAAGAAAATAATAGTGAAAGGTCTACAAATTCTGATACAGAGCAAGAAATAGATGAGGAAGATATACGTCACCTGTCCGAGGCTACAACGTGCACATCAAATGATATATACATGGGAAAAGATGGAGTTACAAAATGGAGCAAAACTTGTGGAAATTTAGCTGTGAAGACAAGAGCTGAAAACATAATTTCTCATTTACCTGGAGTAAAAACAAATTTCAAAAACATCAAAGAGCCCTTGCAGATTTGGAAATGTTTTTTTACGGAACAAATGCTCTCTGTTATAGTATAATACCAATGACAAGCTAAATGAAAAAGCAAAAAACCATAGTCACCCTGATACTCAACATCTCACAAAACATACAACATTGGAAGAACTTCAAGCATTTTTGGGACTTCTATATGTAGCTGGTGTTTTAAAGTCGGCAAGACAAAATTTGGACGACCTATGGTCTACTGATGGTTTGGGAGTTGATATCTTCAGGTCAACAATGTGTAAAAACAGATTTAGTTTGTTGCTACAATGTTTACGGTTTGACAGAAGTGCAACAAGACCAGAAAGGCGCCAGCTGGATAAGCTTGCACCCATCAGAGCAATTTTTGACAGGTTTGTGGAAAACTCTCTCGCTGTATATATTCCCAGTGAATACGTTACAGTTGACGAAAAGCTTGAAGTATTTAGAGGCAGGTGTTCTTTTCGCCAGTTTATCCCAAACAAACCGGCAAAATATGGAATCAAGATCTTTGCATTGGTAGATGCCCGAACATTCTACGTCTTGAATCAAGAAGTTTATGTTGGCAAGCAGCCATCTGGTCCATTTGAACAAAGTAACAAACCAGAATGATATAGTTTTACGCTTTTGTAAGCCGATTCAAAAGTATAACTTACGACAATTGGTTTGCAAGCTATTCGCTTATGACAAGACTATTGCAAGAATATAAGCTGACTTCGGTCTGTACTCTACGGAAAAATAAAAAAGAAATTCCTGTGCAGTTTTTACAGACTAAACATAGAGCGGAAAAATCATCTATATTTGCATTTCAGAAAAATGCTACGCTCGTTTCATATGTTCCCAAAAAAGGAAAAAATGTTCTGCTTCTTTCGAGCCTACACCATTCAGACATGATAGACGAAAGCACAGGAGATGACAAAAAGCCAGAAATTATAACGTTCTACAATTTGACAAAAGGTGGTGTCGACGTTGCAGATGAACTTTCAAGTAACTATAATGTTTCACGTAATAGTAGAAGGTGGCCCTTGACCATATTTTTTTCGTTATTGAATACAGCATCAATCAACGCTTTTGTGGTATACCTTTCCAATGTTGGAACTCCTATCAAACGTCGCGAATTTATCAAAGAATTGGCACTAAAAATGATTATGCCTCATATGAGAAATCGACAAAACAATCCCAGAATATCTTTATGTCTGAAAAGGAAAATGAACGAAATTACAGGTGCTTCCACTTCTGCAAATATCGTTGATTGTGAGCATCCTGGCAAAAAACAAAGAAAGTCAAAACGATGTTATACATGTGATCGTTCTAAAGACAGGAAATCTTTCTACTGTTGTGCACTCTGCAAAGAATTTGTATGCTTAGAACATTCTATGATAACATGCGAATTATGTTTTGAACAAAACAAAAATAATACATGATATTGTGTTAGTATAGTGTAACTTTTTCATATCTTAGAATATAATAGCAATGTATGTATTTTAACATTGTCAAACTTTGACCTATTCCAATAAATGTTTGAATATTCATCGAAACACCAAAAAAACGTAGTTTTGATGCGATGGTCTCTTACATTCTCCTTTACACATATAAATTTGATAAAAAACAGAAATGGAATAACCTACAACACCTAAATTGCACCCTTGATGGATTTCTCTTTCAATGAATGCTCATACCCCACCGTACCACTAATGTTTGTAAACGCCACCGTACCAACGCCGGGTTAATCCTTTATGAATTGCGTAGAAACGGGTTGCGTAGAAAGAGAAGAGTCAACCCACTTGACGGCATTTCCTTTCTTCTGCACAAATATGGTAAACCTCACTTTTTCTATTTTTTCCAATAATAAAAGAGCCAATCGATTTTTTCGCACTGTATGATTCGTTGGAACATTGCTAGCCTACTTTGACCATTTTTGAAATATCGCCTCGGGAATATAGCCGACTGAAGGAAGCTACTGGTAATTGGTTCTTTTATATAAATGCTGAATAAAATAAAATAATAAAAATTTGGCAGAATAGTAATTAGCTGAAGAATCAGGAGATGATGTACATAGAAAACAATTAATTTACTCATGACTGATCAGTCTTAAATTCTGTATATCAAAGACCTAATCGTTTAACTATAAAAAATACATGTTCTTGTTTGATGTTTACAAAATCAATCAATATGGCTCGTATCTATTTATATAGCACTCGATTCCCAAAAAGTTGCATAAGTGGGCAGCCAAAAAAGTAAAATTCAAATGTTCTAAGAAATTTATATTTGTAGGTGTTTCGGATCGCTGATTACGAATTTGTTATCAAAAAAACATCAGACTTTGAAGATGGTGAAACCAGTATATTGGAATTATGGGAACAATAATCAATCAAACAGTAATGAAACAAGCCTTATCCTTATTCGAAAAATGATCCATTTTATCGTAATCAAACAAGAATACACCTTTTAGCGGAAGGAACTTTTCAAGAATATCATTTTTGAATCTACAGTGTGTAAGAAATAGTACTGATTTAGGGTTAATAGACTTCTTGACTCATACATAATTTCGTAGAATAAATTATGATTTCTCAGAATCTTAGGAAAACAAAATATGTCGTTTTTAATTTTTAAAGGCACAAGATAGATATATGTCCAATTTAAAAAAGTATATTTTTTATTTTTATTATGAAACGGTCAAAACATTACCGGCTATGTTGTGACTTCATAAAAATTGTAAACAAGCAAACGCCATACGTAAGTCGTTCGTTGACTTACGTTGTCTTCTTTAAATATTTGCAAAAGACTCCGCAGCCGATTGAAAATTGAATCCTCTTCAATTCAATAAAAAATCATCTTTGAATTCCTACTTCACGGGCTGCAGAAAGGATTCTGATATATGAGGTGTCTCTAAATTTGTAATCACAGCGTGAGTTACACTGGGATATACTAAGGTTTGACAAAATCAAAATGGCAGATTTTAATGGAAAATTTCAAATTTGAACTACCTACTCTACGGGCTTCACTGAAAGAGGCATGATGGATTTTGACATATTTATGAGGTCTCTGTACATTTGTCTATCAGTGCAAGAAACACCAAGAATACCAAAATTAAAAAAATAAAATAACAGGTTTCAAATTCAAACTTCAACTTTGAAATTTCTATTTCAAGGGCTACAGCCCAAACAGCTGGATGGATCCTGACTTTTGAGGTACTCTTATATACCACAATCGATTCTTCATTCTTCTCAGTTACTGCAGTCAGATGGTTTGTATTTTTTAAGAATGTTAAGTATGTACCGGGTGACTCAATAATAATGGACGTCGTCTGTATTTCAGCAACGGCTTAATTTAGAGCCATCCGTTAAAACAATGCATAATTAAAATGGCCAAGAGATATTGCTGGAAATTTTTATTTTATTATTTTCAGCTTACTAAAAAGGCCGTTAAAATTACTTATTAACGTATTGATTTATTAACTCTATTAAGTTGATTGCTCAATCTTCGAACTTTTTTCCTGATGTCATTTTTCCATATTTTGATTTATCTAGAGTGGGGAAGTGTTGAATGCCACTTCAGAAAAACTAATATTACTTGTTTGGCTGCACCAATTTTCATGATCTCGGTTCCATTCGAAAGAAATTGCGCCTGCGCTCTTATTCAATCTTGTCAAATTAGTTCATTTTGCGGCCACTAGATAGCGCTTTATGGATGTCTCACTGTTTTTTAATCCCTTTGCAGATTTCAAATAGCACGTACACTTTTTTAATGTTGCTCGGAAAGAGCATAACATGGCGAAAAACGCAGATCAATATCGTCCGTTGGCCACGTTTTTCATGACATTTTTCAACGGATGGCTCTAGGTTAAGCTGTTGCTGAGACATAGCCGGCGTTTTTTATTATTGGGTCACCCGGTACATGTCTCTTCATAGTATCTGGGGGCAGAGGGGGCGGAACATTTCCACAATTCAGATTTTGTTGATAGGTAATTTTCGCGACCGTTTTGAAAACCAAAATAACACACTCGCCACCCATGACTTAAAAAACGGGTACCCTATTATGTATAGTTTACTTCCCAAGTGGAACCGAGGGGGCATATGCAGCCTTGTCTCCCTAATGAGGGCCCATGCTTCCAGAATTTTTGCATGATATTTCATCTCAATTTCTTTCTATATTCAGCAGGTAGTTCAGCCGGTATCCACCGCAGCGGTGTCTTAGAAGAAATCAACTCTGACGAATTCATCTGGCGCCAGAAAGGAATATCCCAAGAGGACGTGGACATGCGCCGGTACCTCACATCGGAGATCAAGGAGGCGTTTAAGACGCCTCAAAACGCCTTGACACAATTGGACGACCCGCACGGGCGTCATTACGACTTACGGGGGTCAAATCAGTCGCTGCCTGAGGTGGGAGGTAAAAGGAAGCCCATAAGAAAGCCCAAAAGGAAAAAGACACCGCATGCCTCACAAGAGAAGATACATCAATACGTGGAGGACTCGGCGAGTGAGGATGTTGAGGCTTCGCCACCTTCTAGGCCCAGAAGACGCAGGTTAGAAGTAGAACTAAAATTAAGACCTAAAATATACCAGAAAAATGAAAGTTTAACCTATCCCAAAAAAGGTTCAAACATTGGTGAGCTATACAAAGTTTCCTTTATGGGGATATTTCACTGATTTGAGCAAAGCTTTCGACCTTGTAGATCATGGGCTGATGAAACCGGAAAGCTATGGAAGACGGGGACTTCCGCTTGAAAGGTTCCGCGATTATTTATCCAACACGTCACAGTATGTTGAAATTGATAATCACGTCTGAAATGTACAAGAGTGAATTGGGACTTCCGCAGTGCTCTATCTTGGGACCATTGCTGTATATAATCTTTGAGCATTACTTCAGTAGCACTTATTATGTTATGTATGTGGACGATACATCTTTATAAGTACATTGAAAAAATTCAAGATCTCATGCGACAGGTGCTACTAAAGGGCTACAAAGAACACAACAGTGACTGCAAGATAATGGATTCCCGCTCTGCGCAAATAAAATTTGTTAGGTTCACTTATGCAAACTCCAAACTCGATCATAGCTTGCTGGTTAAGTCAATGGATGGTTCCATTCAACAGGTCGACTTTGTTAAGTTTTTGAGAATTCACATAGACAGCTTGACCACCTACGTAATAAGATTGCCCCTCGCATATACTGCATTAGTCAGTGACAAAGTCTTACTATTGACTATTCATATACAATTATATAGTCAACTTTATCAGACGGCATAACAGCCTAGGGTGGATCCGATGATCCAAACCGAATATTCACTAAACCAAAAAAATGTGTACGCTTACTTCAAGGTTTGAGTAGAAGGTTCAGCTGTAGAGCATCTTTCAAATAGCTAGGAATACTGTTCGAGCTGTTGTTACATGTAAGGTATAATTTGGGTGATTTTCCGAAGCTGAACGACCATATCAGGTAACAATAAATTCGCTTGACCTACAGGCATGATTGTCTGGAACACAATGCAGCCCAAATCAATTGGTATTAGGTTGTTCAACAAATTGCCAAACACCGTCAGGGCCTTGCCACTCACTATTTTTAAACTTGAACTTAAGGCACTATTTGGATGATTACTTGTCAGATAAACGACCAATATCGGCTGTTATCTTTTTTATTTTATATTATGATTCATGTTTTTTGAATTTCATCTGTTATATATATTTTCACATTTTAAACATAGCAATCTATTAATCTGTACCTACCACGGTATCTCAATGTTTGTCTATTTTTGACTGCCATATACAGATGTGTGTTATTTAGTTGTTCATTTTTTGTATGCTTGTTTTTATTCTATTGTACTATAACCCTTGACATGTTTTATGTCATCCTATGATGATCTGACAGAACCAATGAAGAAATATACCGAAGCTTTAAGATAACGGAGGTATTAAGTTCCGAAAAATTCTAAATAAGCCATTCTCACCCTGGCTCTCTCCTCTCTTACGTCAAATAGATGTTTTGTGGTACTCTGATTGTATGTGAGTCAGTATCAGAATCAGGCGCCGCGTGGTGTGTAGGTTAACCTAGTTTATAGGCAGACTGCATTTGAAAATCGAAATCGGCAAACTTTTACAGAAATAACGTAGTAATAGATATGATGTTAGTTTACTGTGAGCGTTTTAAAGTTGCAATTGGCAGTCCGCGAGTGTATTTGAGTATTCAGAACGCGCCCTTAGTCCTCGATATTTCCATGTGTATATCGTGCAAAAACCGCCTGGGAGGTCACAGAATAAGACCTAAATAGCTCTAAATGTTACAAATTTAAGAAGAAGGAAACTCGAGTTTTTGAATCGAATAGCGAAAGCTTCAGGCAGTACTCATACAAACAAAACATGTGACAGGGCAATACTTGAAATGCCGCACCAAATGAGTAGTGAGCATTTTTCTCCAATTTCTCTTTTACGTTTTAGGTGCTACTTTACCGTAAATTAACTTAACTTGTGGTATTTCAAACGTGATTGTTTCTCACAAAGAAAGACCCAACTTTCAGGACACATTGTATATGCCCTGCTCTATGACTTCCTAGAAAAGTGGTGTTCCACAAGGATCTGTTTTAGAATAAACATTGTTTCTATTTCACATCGATGAAGAGAGGTATCGAAATAACATTCTTTTAATAGCAAACAGAAGCTTCTCAATGTTTTTCTTGCATTTGGTTGGAACTATGAACTAATCTTGCTGTTTAGTTTCCCGGATAATCTCCGTCATCAGTTCCTAAAAGATTAACTTCAGCACAAGTAAATCGCTCTGAGAAACAAATTAGTTACGAGCATCTACAATAAAGAAATCAGATCAAGTTAGTCAAATAAGCCCAAACAATTAATCCATAGATACTCTTTCCTTTTTATATTAAGCTCCACATATGATTACCTCTAACAAAAAGGGTAATTTCTAAAAATTTTGTTACAGTAAACGAACTAGAAAGCCAAAGAGCGAAGAGATCGTCCCATTCCAAGAAACCCACGCCGTTGAGGTGGAAGACAGTCGTTTCGGCCATCGAGAGAGCTTGGGCGGGATTCTGGGTGACGACGAAGGGGAAGATGATGGAATGACATACGAGAACGAAAGAATGATTGGAAAGGAACATCCTGAGATCAAAGTGCAGGATCCCTACAAGAACCTCGAGTTTGAAAGGGAGGTCGTGCAATTGCCAGCAGCGCCACCTAGGAAACACAAGAGTTTGAAGAGTCTCACCATGTCGGAGAACGGGTCACTGCTTGGCGTTGAGGCTGAGGTTAGCAATTTTAGAACAGAATGGGTGTTTATTTAGCTACAAGCTACAGTATTACATTAACATGAACATATCAAGAATCACATACCACCTGGTCCTTAATTTCTCAATACTTCAACAAAAAAAGATGTTTCTATTATTTTCCGTAAAGTGTTCTTTCTTTAGCTTTTCGATTTCAAGTAAGTTGTTCGTTTGGGCAGATTTTGTCAGATACAACATTGGCCACATGAAATATCTGAAATCTTCAATGCTTCGTATGAATACTTACAATTATTGCAGGCTTACTTTTCAGCCTGACATGCTTCCTTCATGTGATTTTCACTGGACATACTACTACAAAATTGCACTTCGCAGTCCAATGTCCAAATCGACAGCACTGATATCATCGAAGCACATTAAAATAGTTGTAGAATTTATGACTATTACATCTCAAATATATAGACTGTTCTTTATCAATCTGATCTTCTTTATTAGACAATTCTTTTATCACACTATATGCTTCTGCCTGTGCAACTCTCGTATTTATGAACTACTTTGACTTCAGTACTTCTTTTCTTCTTATGAAATTTAGATACAAATTAATCATCATTTAGTTATCCTCTCTGGCATCATCTTTGTTTTCGGTTTAATTTCACTGCCAATTTTTATGTCATACTCCTCCCTTTTGAACTAACTTTACTAATGATTTTTCATCTCTCACATGAATGACTAAACATGCTTGTTTTGTTTATTTATTTTATTAACAGTGCTACTTTTGGTCTTGTCTTTTATTTTAACTGCCAATAGCTCAACTTTTCTTACTTATATCTGACCACATCATACTATCTCCCACAGATGGTTTACTTCCCACTAATTCTAGTGATTTTGATGACTTCTCTAGCAATTGATCAGTTTTCAGAAAACAATTTTTTTCATTTCTTTCTTACTTTTCGCAGATAAGACTATGTGGATAATCATTTCAGGTGATGCATCTGGCTTGAGGTAAATGCAACCAGTTTTCGAAAGTCTTCTTCTTTCTAAAGCTTCTCCCGTCTGAGAATTTTATTGTAGATTGTTGATCTTAGATGTCTCCACAAAATCACTAGGTGTGAGATTATATTATGATATTATCAGTATATCGAAAATTACAATTTCTTCAAGATAGTCGTTCTCGAAATATGAGACGACATAGTTTAAGCACTTTAAGAATTCAGTAATTTACATCTATAGCGTTACTTTTGTTTTATTCCATTCTACATGGTGTATAGTATCTCACCAGAATTTGAGTCGTGATTGCTGGTGAGATTCTAAGAAAGAAAGTTCACAAGTCCAGAATATTCGTTTTCAAGTCATTGCAATGAAATTAAATTTTCCGAAAGATTCGTATCCTTTAGCAAATTTTGATAAAACACAGCATGTACAGACTTATTGAATTAAAATTACTGAATAAAAAACATTTGTCAAAACCGGAAATTGACTTGATCACCGAACATGAATCTGTTAAATTATTTACTTTTTAGGAATCTCTTTTATTGACACGTTTCTCTTATTAGGTATTATCTAAATTTTCTGCGATACGTCTGTCCCTTCTAAATTTAAACATTTTTGACCAAACCGGCTAAAGTATAGTTACAATTTTTAAGAAAAAATGGCACGCCATTTTTTCGTCCTATGCATCACTGTCATCAGTTCATAAAGGATTCTGTATATTTCATAAAGTATTATGTATAATAAAAAAATTAAATGGAATAAATGGATCAAGTTAGCCAAACAGGCTCATACAATTAAAATTTGCGAAAAACGAAGTTTGAGCGTTGTGCATTTTTTAATCTTTTTGCGCGGCTACTGGGTTGATTTTTTAAAACTAAAAGCTCATTGGTACTTGGCCTAGTAGTAATCGTGTGCGAAAAGTTGATCAAAATCCGACCGGTACTTTCCAAGTTATAGCAGACCGACAAACATACAGATCGACGGAAATGAGTGACATGGTTTTTCATGATATACTTGTCTTTAAACAGCAAAAAACGTAATATTTCATTTTCGATTTTTCGTGATTATAATACTTTCTCGCCAGTGACGTAGGAAGTAAAAAGATTAGAAGAAAATCTTGAAAACTGAGCATTCCCAGACATATGCTTATATAAACCGTTTTATTTTTAGAACGACCCAAGCAATCATCATCTGGCCAGGTACTGTATGCCTTTACAAAGCACAATACGGTTTTTGTTCTTTCTGCTAGGCTATAAATAAAGCTTGAGAACTTGATGACTGGTACCGAAGAAATAAGCCATCATTGAAACTTATTTTAACATTTTAAACAACCTTACAATCCACCTTACAGATCGAGGTAATCAAAACGGACTCGAAACTGATCATTCCGATCGAACCAGAATCGCCACCATCGAGACCTTCAAGGTCACGTTCGAGGGCGAACTCCCAATCACGCGGCACTTCCAGAGACGACGAGAGTCTCTCACGTCGGTCATACTCGGCCGCTGTTGATTCGGAACCGCCATGCGTCGAGGAACCATGCATGAAGGAAGTGTGCGACTACATGGGGTACTCGGTGGTGGACAAGAGCAAGGTCAGAGACCCTCCTTTGCCGCCCCCTAGAGCCCCTAGGAAAAAGAGATCGACGCTAATGCACGAAGAGAAGTTCTTCACAGTACCTAGGGCGAAGGGCAGTACTGAGACGCCGGTGAGACCCTTGAGGAACTACAGCACTTTGGTGAGTAACCATTAGCTAATAGGCATATCTTGGAATCTTGTAGTTTTGCAAAGTTGTTGGAAATGATACTTTACATGTTTATTCTTACTGCAAAAAGACGAACTTTGTCGATCTATCAGCTTCGTTAATAAAAAATCATGTATCGCTAACCTTCCTCGCTCGACACAAACTATTTGCGAAACTTTGGATGATGTTATATGGATATGAAAAAGGCATTTGATAGAATAGATTTTTATGAAGGATACAGTTCACCGCTCATAAGACCTACTTTAGGAATTCCCCAAGGCACAAATCTAGGATCTTTACTCTTTCAGTTATACTTAAACGATCTAACTCTTGACTTGTATTAATCTTGAATATCAAGAGCAGGTCGATGATTTAAGAGTTCATTTCGATCAAAAAATATTTTTTTCATGCCCCTATACAGGGTGTTTCAGTTTATTGTTGCATAACTTTAAGATTCGATAGAACTTTTAAAATTAATGCGTAAAGTCTATATAAACCCGGGTCGAAAAATGCGTGGCTTCCGAAATACAGGGTGTCTAAATTTACTTTTTAAAATAGTTTTTTTTAAATATTTCGGACAATATTTGATATATAACAGTGAAAATTGGTGTCAACGGTTTTTTGCTACGACAAAACGAACCATGGGCATAGTTTTACTGTAGCCGCTAGAGGGCTCTCTCTACTGTACCTGTAGTGTATTAAAATGACCGAATTTTTTTTTGTACAATTTTTTGCTTTTTGAATAAAATACTGATTCTTCGCACTTTTCTGCACAAAAAAGCTCTCCTGTGAGTTTTCGTTATAGTTAGCCGTTTTTGAGATATTTCGATTTTTAAGGTTCGATGCATTTTTAATTATTTATAGGAAAATAATATTTTTTTTTACATTTTCGATTTGGGCATTACAAGTAATTAAGATGATCGTTTAGATTGTGATTTTAAACACAGCAATAATTCCTAACTCCAAATAAACACAAAAAAACAGGATATTAATTTGTTGAATTTTAACAAATTAAATTAATTACTTACAACTAAATTGCTACTGGATAGTTAGGACAAACATACAAAATCTAAAGTAGTTGCTCGAAATGTAAACCCAATTGTTCAATACACAATTCACATCTACGAATGATCGAACGTGGTATAGCATTATTCAAATAAGGCCTTATTTCATCACATGCGTTCCTGATTCTGTCTATTAGCATATCTCTTGTGGTTACGGGAGTCTGGTACACTTTTTCTTTCAGAAATCCCCACACAAAGAAATCTAATGGATTTAGGTCAGGGGATCGTGGAGGCCAGGCGACTGGTCCTCCACGGCCGATCCATTTTTCTGGATAATTTTCGTCCAGCCAGTTTCTAACTATTCTCGAATAATGAGCTGGACAACCATCAAGCTGGAACCAGGCCAATCTTCTTAAATCTAACATAACATCATCCCACATATTTGCATGTTCAGCCTTTAAAAATTCCAAGAAGGTCGCAGCATTTAACCTTGCAGGCAAAAGGTAGGGTCCAAATAGTCGATTACGGTAGATACCAATCCACACGTTCACACTAAATTCATGCTGAAAATTTCTTTCCCGAACTGCATGCGGATTTTCATGCGACCAAATATGTTGATTATGAAAATTTACCACTCCACGTCTAGTGAAGCATGACTCATCGGTCCATAAAACGTTACTTAAAAACTCGCTATTATTATCAGTTCTATCAAGAATCCACTGACAAAATGTGATTCTTCGTTCTCCGTCCCCTGGCTGTAGTCCTTGCACAGGTTGCAAATGGTAAGGACGTCTATGGTCATTTCTAAGAACACGGTGAACATGGCTTGCTGAAATTCCCAAGGTACCAGAAACTCTCCTAACACTTGTGGTCAGATCTCTATCAAACTCACGTAGAATCATACGGGTAAATCTGCGCTGACGAACATTTATGTTTTGATCCCCTTGGAGATTTCCAAAACCATTTTCAATTATTTGGCGATGCACTCTTACAAATACTGAGCGAGTTGGATGTCGTCTGTTTGGAAATCTACGTGCGTATTCTCTGGCTGCTTCTGCTGCGTTTCCATTTACAAAGCCATACACAAAATGAATATCCGCTAACTCTTGATTGGAGAATAAAAATGGCATTTTTATAAAACTTACAAAAAAAACAGGTAAAAGAAGCTAAATTTCGTGCATGCACAATTGCAAAAAAACGTTTCAGGTTTCAACAGACAAAAAACTAAGTGTCAACTAATTGACGTTTAATCTTATTCTGCTTTCAATTTCAAAAATATTTGCAGGCACAGGCTACTTCTAAAAATTGTCGAGATACTGACTTTTTAACGTTATTCTATCATAAGTAATTAAAAATGCATCGAACCTTAAAAATCGAAATATCTCAAAAACGGCTAACTATAACGAAAATTCATAAGAGAGCTTTTCTATGTTGAAAAGTGCGAAGAATCAGTTTTTTATTCAAACTTGACTGTTTTTTTTAGATACAAGCGAAAAAGGCGACAGACCCATCTGCAACCGAAAACAAAGAAAACTTCCATATCATGCAGTACGCCGAGATCGACGATGAACCACACAAAGATGCACTATCGAAACCTGCAGGTGACGTAATCAAGAAGATACAAGACAGACCTCTACCAGCACCTCCTAGACCTCCAAGAAGGTCCCGTCAGGAGAGTGGAGGACCTCTACGAGATATTACGTCTCAAGAGAATATTGCCAGTAGGTCAGTCGAAGACTTGGACAAACAATATTTGGATGAAGCTCATACTGCTACCCAGACGGAACCTCTGTCAGATGACTTCGTTTGTGCAGAGGTTAGTAAAAAACGCTTACTTTAAAAAAATGTCACCAATCTATCCAGCAATGTTTTGGGTCAACTCACAGTTCGACGATGCTTTTAAATAAAAGCAAGTGGTTTTTATGATCAATGCCCACGAAAACATATAACATATACTACAAGACCTAGAAAAATAAACACCCAGCAATAATGAATGTATTACGACAATTTTTAGTATGCACGTCCCTTACGGTTAGGTAAGTATAATTGGTCAAAATCGCAGAAAAATCCAACCACTGAAGAAAATGTAAAAAAATAATTTGTTGGGCCTCCACGACGCACTCAGAAACATTTCTAGACATACCCTTAATCAGATGATCGATTTCCTCTTCTCTATCAAATCAAAGTTCAGGAGATCTGGAGGCCAAAGCAACAAATAAACTTGATTGTCTTCAAAATAGATCAACGCAATTCTGACTATATGTGGCCGCACATTATCTTGTTGGAAAATTGGGTTGGTGAGCGTCCGTATATTAAGCAAAACATGTGGTTCACTCACCTCCTGGATGTAAAACACGGCGTTCAAGTTATCTCCACCTTTGGACCTTTTTGCCGACCCCACCCGTACCAGCACTCTACTCTACATGTTAGTTCACTAATCTGTCGAACTTTCCTGATCTCCTAATAAAGATTAGGCTGTCCGACCATTCCGCTGAGAAAGCAACTTCACCATGGCCCAGACCAGCAAGTAGAACGCTGTTTCGTCCTCCTTCCAGCACACGGGGCAAGATAGGTCCTCTTTCGACCCTTAAAAGAGATAAGTGCCTGTTCAGTCTGCCGGCCGGCCATCAAAAGCTTGCGTGATTCTCTACTCATGTCCAGTAGACAGCGCGGCCGACGTCTATCGGGGCCCGCTACGAACCTCTTGGCCTGGCTGCAGTCATCTCTGTCTCGTCACGCTTTTTCCAGGTCCTTATACAGGTATACCCATTCATTCAAGCCGGTGTTGACTTGGCTCTTGCTTATATCCAGCCTAGGCTCTGGACCGACGCACGTACTTCTGGCCCCCAGTCTAGCCAAGCGATCAAATTTCTCGTTTCCCGATACTCCGCTGTGTAGGGGGATCCAAAGCCGTGTCATTTCTTTAGATCGGGCTAAACTCTGAAGGGCAGTTAGTACATTACCGAACTAAGGGTGACTTTGTCTTCGGGACTGCCCCTGCCTTCAGGGCTGCTTCACTGTCGGAGCATATGAGTCTTCTCCGCTCGGTACAATGCTGAATTTCCTCTGAAATGGCAAATATCTCTGCATGGAAAATTATTGAACAGGTTCCAAGCGCAAAGGTGTTCTGTCTTTCAATTATATTCTCGCCCCCACTGCTTCCTGTTTCCATGAAAAAGGGTACGTTGGTGACGCACACGAGTCACAAAGGCGAGAATATTATTTATTATTTTATTTATTCACCCATCCTTCCTCCGAAGGGATGATGAATCTGATCTTATGGTGTTCTTGGCCCTGCCCACTTTCACCGAAGATATGGGGAGATTGCTCTCTCCGTCATGTCCACGATCTTGGAACTCAATTCAATTCAATTCCTTTATTAACACAAAAATATCTGCAATACAAAGATATTGGACACATAGTTGACAAATAAGTAACATACCTTGGTTTAAAAATTGACATGTAAAACGCTAACTTAAGAATGTCCTCACCTAAGAGAGACTAAACAAGCTATAAATAGTTACACGCGTCGAAGAACTGTATGGAGTAAAATGTACCATCAAGTAAGAAGTTCTTGAGAGCACTCTTGAGTCTTTTTCCATTAAGGCATTTTACAGATTTCGGCAATGAATTGAGAAGTTTATAGCCGATGTAAAAGCGACTTTGCTCATAAATAGATATATGATGCATAATCGATCTAAAGGAGTTGCAGGTCCTAGTTTGATAGCTATGGATGTCAGAAGCAGAAATTTATACATGTAAAAGGATGGTGGAGTTAAAATATTATGTTTCTTAATGTCTACAGGACTCTCCAAATTTCATATGAATATCAACCGAATTACCCTTTTGTGGGCTTCTGCTGATGACAAATTTCCCCATATTATAACGTGATATGATGCATACGGATATACATGTATAATTGTAAAATAGATATTCAGAAGGCATTGAAACAACTTCTTAACTGTAATAATGCATAATAACTGCATCGAGATTGTCTTGATGACACAGTTCTTCTACAGATTCAGAATCTACGGAAATGGTGGCATCATCTGCATAGAGTACTAAACAATTTGAGGTGATATAAAATGGTGAAATTAAGGAAGGTTAAGAAAGCCCCCGAAACCTTAGTGCATATAGCTTATCTGTTACAATGTTCGTATCGCCTACATGCCCTCATGGCGCATTCTCAGGTATGACGACATCGCCTCACGTATATGCAGGCGTTTAGTGGCGGCACTCACGTGATAAAGGGCTGTTAAAGAGGTTGTTCGCATCGTACCAGCGCCGTCAGTCTTTGAATCTTGGCGGTCTTGAGGGTAACCGAAGTCTATTCGATACATGACCACCAGGCCACGTATGCATACTGTATCCTAGGACTTACCATCGTCGTGTAAAGTCAATGCAGTACCTTTGGCCTTAGTCGCTTATTTACTTTTTTTTATAAGAACAGACGATATCACAAAAACGACTTTATCTATAGGGCTTAAAAGCTAATAGTTTCTTGTCGTACCCTAAGCAAACATACCTAGAAAATCATTGTAATAGATACATTATTACTTGGTGTTCTTTTTTCTGTCACTTAGTATAATTATATCTTTACCTACAGGTGGTTCAAGAACCGAGTGACACCGTCCTAACTCCATCAATAACAAAAGAAAAACCAACTATCGAGAGACGACTAATAACCCCTACAGTATACAGTTATGAAGAAACTATCACGCACGGTTCTTTAGTAGTCGAACCTTTAGATGGTGCCAAGATCTTGCCCGAACATCAATTGTCCAGAGAAAGATTGATTCCAGTTACTAAGGATTCAGACTACGACGAAACATCTTCGATACCAGAAGAGTTCACCAGGTTGAAGGATCCTCCAAAACCATCAGAGTTTGATGTTGTCAGGACTCAGAAGTTGCAAGTTGGAGACTTAGACGTTGATACTTTGACTGTAAATAGGTTGTTGGCTGATAAAATAGTAGTATCGGAAATAGATAGTAGTTCAATTCAGACCAACGAAATTAGCTCGATTACGGGTGCATTAAAAATTGGTGAGATATCTCTACCGCCTGGAGTGATAGAGAGTATAATGAAAACGATGCAATCTAGTCAAATACCAAAGGAAGAGTCCAGCGAGGATGCCGGACAAAAAAAAACTTCGATTAGTCAGCGAATAGATGGCGAAGAAATTCTGTACTCTAACCAAGATGCCCCTTTTCCTTCTAACAATGAAGAACCCCCAACACCTCCTCCAAGAAATTTAGAGCTAGAAAATACTGTGAAAGAGATACAGGCACACCAAACAAGTTTACCATCAACGGTAGACGAAGAACATCTCAGAGCAAGCTCGATAGAGCCTCAAGAAGAAGAGGCAGCACCTCCTAGACCTCCAAGACATGTAGAAAGACCTAGAATAGCGACTTCCAGCAGTCAAGAGCAAGACGATGCTAGCAAGACGCCTCTGGAGCAGCCGGCTGGGCTCACGACTGAGCAAATCCTGTCCTCAAGGCTGCTGGAACCCGATGTGGATGACGAGCCTCCCCCCAGACCTCCTCAACCCTCTGTAGAGTATATCCCCTCGCAGCCTCCAGCAAGTTTTTACGCGTTAAGGGCTCAGAAGCTTGTAGAATCTCACGACGGTAACATTCCAGTTGTGCCTAGGAGAAGGAGGCACACGAGGTCCAGGCACCGGACAAGGTATGTAAAAAACATGTAAAAGCAAATATTGAAGTTATTGAACAATTTTCGCTAACATCGTTAGCTATTAATTATATAAAACCTGTTTGGCTTTCTTTACCTCTGACACCAAAAATTTACCTCTATATAATCAGCTAAATATAAAGAAAATATCTGCAAAATGCATATACATCGTGTTTCAGAAAGACGTACCAATATTTTTAGGATAAAAAGTATAGTATATAAAAAAATAACAATAAAATTTTTTTATAAATATGGGTCCAAAGACTTACTGAGATACAGGGTCATGAAATTTTGCTTACAAACAAATCGTAAAATTGCTCCTCCTATCTACTCTGAATTCGTTTAGTCGAACTACCATATCATCAAACTGCTTAGATCATTTGGATTTTGGTAAAGTTGATATGGCGTTCCAGGTCAAACTCTGAGAGTTCCTCACCCACCGATCCACCTCAAAGTCAAAGGAGGATCCATCGTAGGTCCAGCGAGCCTTCTCTGACTCAACTGACCGGCCAATTAGCGCGAGCATGTGCGTTAACAGCCAATCAGGAGATCAAACGCCTTGTCAACTACATCCTGAGGAACGTTCTGGCCAATGACGATGGAAAACAAGACTTGAACGTCATGATCATCATCATGCTGGTTCTCATAGCGGGACTTATTTTGTTAGGTTACGGGGAGGAAAAGACTGTTGTTCATTTGCATCATTGGGAGTATTTCAATCCGCCGACAGATTTGTAACTTTTATACTTACGTTGTTATCTGTAAATTTGTTTGGTGTCTCAGCGTTGTTATATTTTCACATACTTTGTTTTTTGGATTTTATTAATGTAAATAAGCCATTGTTATTTGAATAAAAGTATTATAAGTTCCAAGTTGACTCGTTTTACTTGACAAAAAAATGTCTCATAAACCGTGACCATGATCCTATCTCAGTTTAAGTATAAAATAGCTCTATACTATACGTTACATAATATTAGGTACTGCATGTACGCTAGATGAACGTTTTCAAGGCATAATATGGCGATAGAATACAAAGTTACCAGAAGAAGGGTCTTTGATCTGCTGACTTCTAAAGATGCCGATATTTTTCTATAAACACGGATCTCTTTTTAGGTGCCTCAATTGAAGAAGTCCCTCACTTTTTAATTGCTTTATACAGTGTAGTACTGCCGGAATTTGGCGCTTGTTCGGAATAGGTTATCAGAAAATTGTTTGTAACAGCGTCGAGTAATTTTATTTATACGAGTACAGGTAGGGTGATTCATATCATTGTTTCTATGGCATGTATGACGGATGACAAATATCCTTTGCTTTGCCAGGTGAAAACTAGTTTTGAGTCTCTTCGTCACTCCCTGGCCGACGATTCATCTGTCGTACACAGTGATGGGCGTTTACGCGTATACATTAATTGTCTACTTCTCGATGTATACAATGCGTATACAATGAATACAATGTATACATTGCGTATACAATGAGTACAATGCATACAATGATGAAGACAATGTATAGCCGCACTTTTTAATTACCTTATACAGGGTTTTAGCCTCTCCGTCACTGACTGGCAACGATTCATCTGTCGTACTGTTTTTTTAGTCGTTACGTAACCTCAGTTTGAAAATGAATGTAAGGGAGCTAAGTTAAGTAAAAATAAATGTTTTTTAAGGTTTCTTATCCATAGTTAGGAGAAACACTAAAATAAAGAATAGAAAATATCCTGAAAGAAATGAAATGAGACTTCCATAAACTTGAATGGATATGATATGAATGCCACTGCACATACCTGAAAAATTCTATAAACCAAACTAGGAGCTTTCGTCCGTCTGACCATAGACGGCCAGCCATGGTGTCGGCTTGGTCTCAGGTAGGACAATAAACGAAATATAAGCAACTATGCTCTACCCATAGTATATGGTATATCGAGGTAAGTCAGCATAAAGTGCCATCTGTTACCATAATCGACCACTGCGATAGTGAAAACAATTCGCAGTGGTCGATGACACTTTGTTCTGCCTTATTTCGATAATTCTATAGATGAGTTAATCTTCTCAATTTAGGATCAACTTTATTTGTTCTGGAAGTGACTATACCACGGTTGCCATATTTAAAGTGAAAATAAATACGGACTTGTGTACAAAGTGAAAGAAAACGATCAGCACAAAAATTTTCACAAGGGTGAGTGAAACTGATGCCAAATACTTCAGTTTTCAGTCGTTTTCCTACGTTGTCCACACAAGGCAGCTCAACCAAGTTATTTGTCAATATTCCCTCCAATTCCGTAACAGACTCAAAGACACTCCGAAAAGGCACTATGAAGCCTTCAATTTGATCATCATATTTTGGAAATTAGAAAAAGAACTACTCATCACAGTTTTGTGATATCACGTTTTTGACTCTGATACTCTCATGAATCATAGGAAAATTTTCGATGGACCTCCTTCATAAATTACACCTAGACCTGAGCTCCTGTATAAAAAACGCATTCCAAATATTCTGGAATAACAATACGTGCCTAAAATCATTAGCAAGGCATCGGAACACCATTTCACTCCTTTATTTTGCATCCAGGCACGCATCACTAACTTGTCTAGTGACAGATTATTGGGGGATGGTGCGCTGGAGGTCATTCATTCCAATCAGTTTGCATACCAGGCTGGGAAATCCACTGATCTGGCCTTACAAAATCTAGTCTGTAGGCTGAAGAATACTCTAGATCAGCGAGAAGTGGCACTCGTGCCCTTTTTGGATATTGAAGGTGCATTTAATTGCATAACAACCGACTATATCAGACATGCCTTGAGTAGGCACGGGGTTGGATCAATCCTAGTTGATTGGGTCCTGTCCACTTTGGAAGGTCGGGTAGCAACAGCTATGCTGAATGAAGTATGATGCAGCGTCCGCAGGGTGGAGTTCTGTCACCCTTACTGTGGTGCTTCGTGGCGAACGAGCTCCTCGTTCGGCTCAGCAGTGTGGATGTTTATGTGCAAGCCTATGCTGACGACTTAAGTATAGTAGTTAGGGGTTGTTCTTGTAGAACAGTCTCTGAGATTACGCGGAGCGCTCTGCGCACTGTGGAATCGTGGTGTATAGAGGTGGATCTTTCTGTCAACGCTCGAAAGACCGAGCTATTCGCTAGGGGAGGGAGGCTTGACGGGCTTCTCTTGCCGACCTTCTTTGGGAGTAGACTAGTTCTGTCCGAATCATTAAAATATCTAGGAATTCTCCTGGACTGTAAACTAAACTGAAGAGAGCATGTTGAATGAAATGTTAGGCTCGCAATTTAATGTGGGCTTGCAGACGTGTTGTCAGAGTGAGGTGGGGGCTTAAACCCAAAGTGGTACACTGGCTCTACACGACGATAGTACGTCCATCTCTCTTGTTTGGCTCCCTCGTTTGGAGGCCTTGAATCGGAACTGAAGCAACTAAGGACAAACTCAATAAAATTCAGCGTTTGGCTTGTATTAGTATTACAGACGCTGTACAGACTATGTCATTGGGTCTTATATGTGATGAATAAAAATTGAGCATTTGCTTGAAGTAAACAGTAAAAGCAAAAGCAAACCCTTCGAAACAAAAGATGGAAGAAAAAGCATTTACTTCGTTTCTAATGAATAATGATTTGCTTTTGCTTCGTAGTAAATGCTCGGTGATTCAGACCATTTCCTATACTTTTTATCAAGTCTAGACAGGAATATTTGTATTTGGTTGAATATAATACTCATGATCTTTGTAGTAGTTATGAAGTGATTGATTGTGGAAGAATAAGCAACGCAATGACTTCCGACGAAGAAAGTACGACCTGTGAAGAGAACGCTCAGGTGAGATTTGTAGTTACTAGAAAATTATAAAGTGGTGCTTCAAAAATCGCAAGTGCCCACGATGAAAAAAGCAAAAGAGGCTGCATTAATGAAGTTGCAAGCTGAGTGGCAGGCGTTGAGTGGAAGAGCGATACGTGTAAAGCAGTTATCGAAAAAAATAAATAACATGGAAACAAAAATTAAAAAGGAAACAGATATAAATAAAACTGGCAACAAACAAATAAAGTTAAAGTCATGGGAACAGGCATTTTGGAGGTTAATGGATGGCGACAGAAACCCGCACTTGAGCAAAATACCAAGTAGGAATCAAAAATATTTATTTTTATTATAAACTATAAATTAGGAAACTAAATTTCTTTAGGTGCTGTGCAAGTTGGCGTGCCCTCACCGATACAGACTGCTGTTTCGGTAGACGGTATCTCCTCGGAGTCTCACTCATCTGTTATAGTTGTAGAGACCGCAACCAGCTCGCTGTCAAAGAAAAATAAAAAAGCTTGTCTTCCAGAGACATCGGAAACACAAAACCTATCAACGGCTGAATTACAGAGATTAGTTTTGTTAGAACAATTGTCTTGAGGTTAAAGAAAGGAAAATTGATGAGAGAGTTAGAAGAGAAGGAGCCTGAGAAGGAGTTAGTCACAGAACATGATAACGTGTATACACAGTTATAGACTACCTCACCGTACTTTGAGAGTGCGATATTTATGTTGAAATATTTGTTCTTCAATGTACACAAAATTTGTATTCCTTCTCTCAGATTATGCTCAAGTTTTGTATTTATGATATTTGTTATATTTTTAAAAAATTTTGTGTTCCAGGTCTTGGATTATAATTGGACGGCTCTTTGCAGAAAGGAACCAACCCACGAATAATAGGAAATCTAAATTACATAAAAATAATGCATTATATCATTTAAAGATTTTAGTTATATTATATACACTTTTAAGATTAAAATTGTTTTTAATTTATGATGAATTTTTTAATATTGTCAAAACTCGGAAGCCTAATTACTCAATAAGGTTTGTGTTGTGGGTTAGTTCCTTTCTGCAAAAAGCCGTCCAAGTATAACTTTCAAATTACCCTGTTGAAAAATGAGATGGGCAATTTCCTCCCGTCTTCGCATTCCAATTTTCCTAATGTTGTTAAAGTCGTCGTCCGCATTTTGTTCAACAGGGTTATTTACCTCATTACTAAGCTGCATTTCTTCCAATTCGAAGTCGGGTTCGCCTAGTGTTTTTGCGATGTTGTGTAGAATAATTCAGCAAACTATTAGTTATTATTATATGTTTGTAAGCTTCACTCGAGTTTTATATTGCAGTATGGAAAATCTTTGCTTTAGCTGTCCGAAGCAACCTTCAATACAACCTCTTTCCTTCTTCAACAAATTATTGTATCAGATCTCTTGTGGTGTATTTGGAATTCGATAGGGAGTCATTAAACAGGGCTTTATTCCATACTCTTCATCTGCCAGGAGCAAAGCTCTTTCTGTATTGCGACGCATAACGCCACAAATGTTAGACCTTTTCCAGATTCTGCTGTCATGGGTAGAACCAGGCCATTGTGCATCTGCACTTGTAAATTTGTCTTGTGCAGCGCACGTTGCTTGTACATTGATGCTCGCAAAACCTTTTCGGTTTATATATTCATCTCCAAATTGGGAAGGCTTTTGAATACGAACATGTGTGTAATCCACAACTCCAACTGCAGCTAGAAACATATAAACCTCATGCCAGCGACGCTGGGCTTCACGTATTTCCTCATTGGAAGATGGAAACTTGATCCACAGATTTGCTTTCTGCCAGACTTTTTCCGTTACTTGAGCGATTGTCCTTGACACAGTACTTTGGTGAATTCCAATGATTTCCCCCAAGCCGTTTTGGTACCCCGGATCAGCGATATACCGCAAAAAAGCTTTCATTTTCAGAAACGGTGATAATGCACCACCACGTGTCTTCGTCACCAAAGGAATGGTTGGCTCACCAATGCACGTTTGCTTCATTGAAACGATAAAGGCACTTAAAATCATTAGGTGATGTTTCTACGCGTCTTTTGTATCGTTTTACGGCTCTTAGATTATTTAGAAACGCTATAACTACCACAGACGTATCTCTTTCGTGAACGCGAAGTCTGCACTTGGAGCTGGGTGGAGATACCTTCAGAAAAATAAAGTCTGTGCTGTAGATCCCTAGCAAAAGCTTGATTTTATTCATAAAATCTGAAGTATTTGCTTATGGTGCAGCAAATGCTTTTCCTTCAGTTGTACCTAAAGCATGTGCTCCAACTTTATTTATCATATACTTTGAAGGTTTTGCTTCATGAATTTTTTTTATTATTATTATTACGTTTTATTCATGAGACCCATTGAGTACAATGGAAGATCTGCTGGATATCTTACCGTTAGATCTAGTGATCCGCGGAGAAGTGAGAGTAACCGCACACCGACTGTGGGGTCAGGGCAGCTGGGCCTTCCTGAATCCTGTCAAGGGTCACTCTGCCATCTTAGTCGAACTTCAAAGGGAGGATCCCGTCTTTCTGAGCAGGGGTCATCTGATCATCCCTAAATATCTCTTCAACCGCAAGTTTAATGATTAAATAGCTATCTGTAACATAACCTCAAAATAGAGCGCTGGAAGAGCAGAAAACTACGAAAATCAAGAAGGCCATGAAGGCGTCCTACAATAACGACTGACGATACGGCCCTAATGCCAGCCATACACGTAACGATATACTTGCGCAAACTTAGACTTGCACAAGTATAGTGTAGCGTGTGTTGGAAGATTTTTGCGCAAGTATCTAGACTTGTACAAGTCGCAAGAACGTTGCAATTTTCGATTCCAAGACTTGTGCAAGTTTACGTTTGCGCAAGTTTACTTGAACGTGCGTGGCAACGAGCGTTCGCAGTTAGCGATGTCCTGCTGCTTGGTTGTACACACGCGTTGCGTTGTTCAGCACCAAAATGAGTGAGACACGTGGAGTTCGAGAAAATTTGGAAGAATTTATAAATGTGTACCGAAATGAATCATGCCTCTGGCAAATAAAGAACAAACATTACCATAATAGAGATAAAAAAACCGCCGCTTATAACAAATAGTAGAACTGTATAAGAAAATAGAACCAAGCGCCAACCGAGATATGATAGTTAAAAAAATTAATGACTTACGCACCAACTACCGTAAAGAAAAGAAGAAGATAGAAGAGTCTAGCCGATCTGGAGCAGGCACCAATAACGTTTATGTGCCAACATTATGGTATTATGATTTACTGAAATTTCTCGATGACGACCAAGGAACGCTAAGATCTTCTCGTTCCAACATCGTCGAAGATGATAGTTCTGAAGTAAGTACACGAAATTAGCTATTATATTTTTATTTAATGTAAATATTTACAAGGTAACATTTCTCTATGTGTTTAAGGAATAAAGTTATCTTGCCAAGGTGCACTCCCCTCGTTATTAAAGTAATGTACATACTGTTCTCTAACATTTTTGGCAGCAGTTGCATTATTTCCAGAGTTTCGTCGATATAATGGCTCCATGTTTGAATCATGTGATGTTAAACCTGATGTAATAGTTCCATCTTCTAGGTTTTCGTGATCGAAACATTCTGCAGAACTATATGAATTCAATAATGACATTAAAAAGTTATGCAAAGCACAGCTTGCCATTACCACCTTATCAATTTTCTGGGGTTCTAGATTAATTTGAGTTTTATATATCCGAAATCTAGAAGCCAAGATTCCAAATGCATTCTCTACAATGCGCCGCGCTCGAGATACTCGATAATTGTATATCTTTCTTTCGCGAGAATTTAAATCTGCCTGTCGGTATGGTTTTATCATATCTATTCTCAAAGCAAAAGCATCGTCGGGTACAAATACATAAGGAAGTATTTTGGAACTTCCTTTTATATGTTCATCTGACGGGATACTTAATTGGTGTTTTTGAAGCTTGTCATAAAATGTAGTAGTCTGAAGCACACCGCCGTCTGATATCCTGCCGTTACCACCAAAGCTGCACATTATAAATTGGTACCTAGCATCCACTATTGCAAGAAGTACCATACTGTGTCGACCTTTATAATTATAAAAATAGGAGCCACTTCCACTTGGAGGAATAATGTCTATATGTTTCCCGTCTATGGCGCCAATGCAATGTGGAAAATTCCACCTATTTTCAAAATGTTTTGCTACATTTTTCCATTCATCTTCTGTTTGTGTAAACTGAAAGCAAAGAAAGTAAAATAACAATTATTGTTCCAGGAAACCATACAAGCTTCAATGAACAGCGATGTTTTGCCATCACAAGATAGAGATGATAATTCTCCGGAAACAGCTAGTACGTCTACACAAATATCAAGTCGCCCTAGGCCACCCAAAAGAAAAAGTAACAGTAATCCTCATTCATTAGATTCACCAGATTTATCTACCGACGTATTGCAAGTCGTAAAAGAGCATTTCAAGCGTCCTTTGTTGAGCGAAGACCGATTTGATATTTTTGGCGAAAATGTTGCAATGAAACTGCGCGATCTGCCAATACAGCAAAGGCTGATTGATGAAATATTATAAACGACTCATCATTTCAAGCAGAAATGGGCAACTTGAGACTGCCACATGGAGAGTTCAATGTACGTGAGTTCTATCGCACAACTCCCAGTCCTCCAACATATCAGCCACAACAGTTTATTCGTGCAACTCCAACTCCCAGTCATTCAGCACACCGGCCACAACAGTTCATTCGTGAAATCCCAACTCCAAGTCCACCAATACACCACTCACAACACTTTAACCAAGGAACCCCAATTCTAAGTCCTCCAACACAACACTCACAGCAGTTCATGCATTTAGGATCAACTCTATCTTCATTGCCACGCATCGAGCAAGAATGTAATGATTCTTCCACGCCTTCCATGCGGTACAATTCGGATTCACAACATTCGACTGAACATACTGAAGTGCAATTATCTATTCCAGAACAATCAGCCGGGGCATTTATATCCAGCTTCAATGATTGTCAATAAATGTTTAAGAATTAAAAACCTTTTACTCACCTTAACCCTAGAACCACAATGTGGCGTCGTGGATGACCGGTTTAAAATATTTCAGTTGTTTTCGCCCGGACTAATTGCAGCCGAAGATCATGCGTCTCAGTATCTTTCTTATTTGATGTACGGAGCATGTGGAGGAGTGTAGAAGTTTTCTATCGTGACTGAAAGCGTTGATATCGAGTGTACGGTCGTCTGCGACGCCACGTTGCTGTTAACGTTACGATAATTATTAGCTCTAGGGTCGCATACGACGCCACGTTGTTATTAACGTTAAGATAAATATTTTCTTATGGTATGTGTTTTCATTCAGTTTTTAGGGCAATATAAAAAAATGTTATATTTTAGATAAAGTCTAAATGGCTGACAGAACGCGTCCGTTAAGCCAGGCTGAACTGGAAAGTCTGGTAGATGAGATCTGCAATGAAACGGATGAAGAAATAGTATCAGACAGTGAAGAGAGTGAGATCAAAGTTCATGAAGAAACTGATGTTATGGAAACTGATGAATTTGATGCCGACCAACCGAGCTCAAGTAATGATAAGGATGTACCTCGAATAAACGAAGGTGGAAAATCAGTGGATCACGAAGCGAATGATGTTATTGAAACTGATGATTTTGGTGTTGACCGACCGGGCTCAAGTCATGATATGGATGTACCTTCGACAAATTCAAAAAACACAAGGACAAGTCAGAAAAATATAGTTCTTCATATGCCTGGTCCACAGCGGCATTTGCAAAATATCACGGATGTCAAGAAAATTTGGGATTCATTCTTTACTGAAGAAATTTTGAAAATTATTTTTGAACATACAAACGAACAAATCGAAATTAATACGAGCCGCTTCAAAACTGAACAACGCTACATTGGTCCTACTAGCATTACTGAAATTCAGGCATTACTGGGACTCTTATATTTATCAGGGGTTTTGAAGAAAGCTCACCTTACACTAAGAGAAATATGGCCAGTTGAATTTGGACCGGCACTTTTTAGAGCGACAATGTCTAAAAACAGATTCGAATTTTTGAATTTTTGATAAATTGTCTAAGATTTGATAAGTTAACTCGGGAACAAAGAAGAGCAAACGATAAATTCGGCAAATTTGGGATATATTTGAAGGACGTTGTAGAGAGAACTATATTCCTTCGGAATATGTTACAATAGATGAAACACTATTAGGATTTAGAGGTAGATGTCCCTTTAAAATGTATATACCAAGTAAGCCTGACAAGTATGGCTTAAAAATTGTAACGATGTGTGATGCTAAAACGTTTTATATGTGTTCAGCTAAACCCTATATAGGAAAAGAAAATAGAGATAGTCCATATTCTATTCCTACACAATATGTCTTAAATTTAACTGAAAACATACAAGGTACAAACCGCAATTGTACCATGGATAATTGGCTTTGTTCTTATGAAGTAGCGAAAGTTTTGCTTGAAAAAAAACTGACAGTTCTCGGAACATTACGCAAGAATAAGAAAGAAATCCCAAAGCAGCTATCGGAAACTAAGGGAAAAAATGTAAATTCGTCCATGTTTGTGTTTGATGAAAAAACTACAATGGTTTCATACATACCGAAAAAAAATAAAACAGTAATTTTGCTGTCAACGATGCACACGCAAGGCGACGTAGAGGAGCAAAGTAAGAAGCCACAAATGATTCTTGCATACAACAGTACCAAGGGAGGTGCAGATACATTTGATCAGCTATGCCATAATTCGACGGTATCTAGAAAAACACGGAGATGGCCTTTTAGAATTTTCTATGGAATGGTTGATATTGCAGGCGTCAACTCTTTTGTTATATTTAGATGGAATCTTTCTGTTCAAAACGAAACGTCGGTAAAACGCTCAAATTTCCTGAAAAATCTAGCATTTACTCTAGTACAACCATATCTAAAAAAGAGAATGTATAATGTTTATCTACCAAGAGAACTAAAAAGTACCATAGGGAATATTTTAAAATGCGATGAGCAAGAAGTCAAGCCCAGCACGGCTCCCAACGTTGAAGTCACTGGTCGTTGCGATTTTTGCCCTCGAAAGAAAAACCGAAAATCTCGAAGCATTTGTGAGCAATGTAAAAAACAAATTTGTGCGGAACATCGCCTGACCCGTATTTTTTGCCCTAACTGTAAAGAAATATCTTAGACTAATTTATGTACCCATTATATATCGTTACTTTTATTTTTTAATAATCATGTGTTTTTGTTAAATAACTGATATTACACTATGTATTTGTTCTTAATTTGACAATAAACTAAATTTATCAATTATCTATTTAGTTATTATTCCCTAAATTTGTAGAACAAAAAGCTATATACATTTTTTATTACAGTGTCGCATTTGACGCCACGTTGTTATTTACGTATTGAAAGAAAACGTTGTGGTTCTAGGGTTAAAATAATCCTGCCGCAGTACTTTGTATATCGCTTCACATGTTTCTGGAATAATAACACCCAACGCCTGGGGTGATATTATTGTTGTAAAGTTTAGGTTTTCGTAACTCCTTCCAGTTGCGAGAAACCTCAGAGTTGCTATCAATCTTTCGTGTGGCGATATAGCTTTTCGCATTACAGTATCTTGGTTTTTAATAAGTGGAGTAATCATCGATAGAAGCTTCAAGTAAGTTTCTTCGTTCATACGCAGGTAGTTATGCCAGTCTTTGGGTGCAAATTTCAATTCGTTCACTAAATTGATATGTGATGAATGTTCTCTTTTCATTAACCAGTCCTTACATTATATAGCTCGATGCCTTTTAAATCTTTTCAGTTTTTTTGTAGCAACCATCAAGCCAACTATCGCCATAGCATCATCAATGGATGCTATCGTCGCAACACAACTCACCTGCTCCATGAATTTCTCAAAAATGATCGGTCAAGTATACTTGCGCTGTGTGTGCTCGAGATAGGATGATGTGTGTTTGCGCAAGTCTAAGCTTGCACAAGTATATCGTTACGTGTATGGCTGGCATAAGTGCCTGTAATGCTCGAGGGATCCATCATCATTAATTTCTTTGTTTTGGTAGATAACCGACTGCATAGCTTAGGTGTGGAAACATGCGGACATTTATAAGACACCCTGGGAAAAGCTAGCGGGTGGTACTGCCTCGGTCGACTGGTCCTTGTCTACCACCTTCTTTTTACATGTTAGTGATGTTAAATAGACCTAAAGTGGCCCGTTGGCGGACTTGTACCGCCACCCGGCAATCGGTACTGAGGTATTCCTTAACGCGTGCACAATCACTTGGACGGGAAGAAGTTGTATACTGGATACAACAACTTCCGGAACAAGCATTGGCCACGGCCCTCGCTCAGTTCTACTAATTTATTATAAGCGGCGGTTTTTTTATCTTTATTATGGTAGTGTTTGTTCTTTATTTACCAGAGGCATGGTTCATATCTGTACACATTTATAAATTCTTCCAAATTTTCTCGAACTCCACGTGTCTCATTCATTTTGGTGCTGAACAACACAACGCGTGTGTACAACCAAACAGCAGGACATCGGTAACTGCGAACGCTCGTTGCCACACACGTTCAAGTAAACTTGCACAAGTCTCGGAATCGAAAATTGCAACGTTCTTGCGACTTCTACAAGTCTAGACACTTGCGCAAAAATCTTCCAACACACACTACAGTATACTTGTGCAAGTCTAAGTTTGCGCAAGTATATCGTTACGGGTATGGCTGGCATTAGTGTGGGTACCGAGACATGCTGGGATAAAGGGCAATGATACGGCGGACGTTCTTGTCAAAGCAAGATTAGCCAGCAAGCTCGTTGGTTCTGAGCCACTATCACTTTGGCCCCCCAGAACGTTAAGGAGCTGGTACTGAAGCCCCTACTCAACTTTGGTAGAGGGGCGAGGCTTGAGGTCTAAGGGATATAGAGTTACATAAGGGCCCGTCTAAGTGGCCTAGGTGCCGGCTCCTCATTGTGGCCGGAATGCCTCTGATTTTATAATTCATTCATTCATGACCGCAGGTAATGAGTGGGTGAACACGCATCCAAATGACAGGTAGCATTACAGCCACCAGAGATATATCTGAGCCACCGCGGCAGAATCTGTTTTTTTCGATGGAGTGGCTATTCTATTTGATATGGCTTAGCTAAAGCCTCAACATGCAATGAGCAAAAAGTTATTTTACCGTTGAATAAAGAATTCTACCTGAACATACTCAACCAAATACACTGTATTCCGGTGTCCAAAAAGGTCCTAGCGCCATCTATGAGATAGTAGCAGATTACAAAAGTGAATTTAGAAACCTACTTTGAAAGGAGTTAGGCTGTTTGTTTCTGATACTCTCTCATAGATGGCGTTAGTACCCTCAGTCCTTTTTTGGCCTCCGTAGGGTAAAAGAAAGTTCCATAAAGCACATTCTGTATTGTTGCGAAACTCTGTGACAACACAACAAACGATAGTGAGGTCCAATACATATTAAAACTTCAGAGTGTTAAAAAGGTGGTGTCCAAGACCATACTTCAATAATATACGTATTATAGGGATCAGTTTGATTCTTGAATTACCCATATAATGACTATATTTTCTCACCGCCTAACTTCAAGGTCATATCTCAAAATGTAACCGTATTATTAGAAGTATTATGTGAAAAACCTAAAAAACATAAAAAACTGACAAGATGCCATCTTGCAGACTAGGTAGTTCTTATTGTGTAAATAGTTCATTCCACATTTGCTCGCTATGATCGCTGTGAGCGTCATCAAAAGAAGAAGAAAGATGGTTGAGTAGCAAGATTATTATGCGTATTGGACTGCATGTGTCTAAGATCAGCGATAGCTTCTATGTGAGAAAATTATTACTGAATATGCTGCCAATGAAGTATATCTATTAGCCGTGCCCGACGGGTTATTTATATGTGGTCCTTTCTGAAGACAGGTTATATTCAAAGTTATAAATTACGATTTTTTCCTTTTTTGTGTTTTCAAAAACTTTGAGGAGCATAACGGTTAAGAAA